TTCCTGCTCAAGCTGAGAAGTTTCAAGCTCTAAAGGTCCCTCAAACTGGGTTTCTTGAGAAGTCTCATTCTCTAAATATCCCTCAAACCGGGGTTCCTGTAAAACATAGTTACATTTTTCACACAGAATTATTTATTAAATAAATAATAATTATACAACAAAAAACAGCTAATAATTTTGTTTTTAGTTGCCAAAATTAGAGGAACAAAGAAAAATAATAGCAAATGGATTTAATCAACGATGGAACTTTCGTAATTGTGTGGGGGCAATGGACGGAAAACATGTTTTACTTTAAGCTCCATTCAATAGTGAATCGGAATTTTATGATTATAAAAAGTCTATCAGTATCATACTTTTGGTATTTGCTGATGCAGTTGGTGCACAAGGAAGAATGAACGAGTTCTGTGTGTTTGCAAGTACAACACTTTATCGTAAGATGATAGGATACAAAAGGAACTTTCGGTTCCAGGACGTCAACAAAGAATGCCTTACGCTTTTCTCTTAGTAGCACACTTTTGAAACCATATTCAGGAAATCATGCTAAGAGTAGCGTTGAACGAATTTCCAACTATCGACTTTGTCGCGCACGATGAGTTATTGAAATAGAAAACGTTTTTGGCATTTTAGCATCCGTAGTCCGTATTTTTAGAAAACCAATGTTGGTACAACCCGAAAAAGCTTCTTTCTTTTGCATGACAATATTTCATAATTTTTTAGTTATATTCTCTAAATGGAGTTTTGGATTTTGAAGCAGACGGACATTTTATACCAGGGACATGGCGCCAAGACATTAACAATTAATCGTTTAAGCCATTTTCAAAAGTACTCAGAAAACCGTCCCAGGATGCAAAATATATTCAAAGGGAGTTTGCAGAATGTTTTTCAACCAATGGAGCAGTTGAATGGTAAGAATATGTCAATTAGTTGATAGTAATACCTTTTATTTACTGTGACTACTAAAATAAATCATACCTAAGATTGCTTTTTATTTGAGGTGACCCTGATAAACCGATCTATGGCGTTATTTGCGAACCAAGAGACTTCCACCATATAACAGAATGCAGTTCACTCGTATCCAAAGCTTTCCATATGAAACCGTTAGAAAATAATTGTTCTTTTGATTTATAGTATTCAATTTCAGTCATAACGTTTGCTACATTAGATCCATTAACCAGAAGCGATAATTTATTGATATACATATGTCAATGCTGCAATGTACTCGTCGTTACTGAGAGGTTTTCCTATAATTTTTGGATCTAGTAAATTTGCTGCTAAGTGTAAAGCCGCGTTGACATGGGTAATCACGAACGTGAGCTACGCTTTCGTAAGCTACGCTGAGCGTGTCAACTACTAGATTCGTGAAATACGAAGCGTAAATACTTTTCACGAACGGAAATAATTCCGATCGTGAAAATATTAAACCTGTTTGATTTTTGTATCTTGTGGCCAGTCGTGAGCAAAGCAGGAGGACAGTAAATTGTTAAATTATGGCTGCTCATATTTTAAGAATGAACGATGCAGACACCAATACATTTCTGGAACTATATCAAAATGAGCCAGTTTTGTGGGATCCGACCAGGGAGGATTATAAAAAACGAGAGTCTCGTGTAGCTGCAGCAAGAAGAATTGCAAATGCAATGGAAATCGATGGTTTTACAGAAATCCATGTAATAATGAAATTTAAAAATTTACGTAGCTCCTATTTGCAAGAAATAAAAAAGATTAGGCAGAGTATGAAGTCCGGGTGTTGTTCTGATGAAGTTTATACTCCCAAAGTGAGATGGTTCAAAATAATGGATTCTTTTCTCAAGCCGCACGTAAAAGCAAGAGAAACCCAATCAAACTTGGTAAGTGTTTATTTTAATTTA